AAACTCATTTTCAGTAGGTAAACATTTTTTTTTACATATTTATATAGCTATTTATAATTAAAATTAATAATTATATTTATAAAATTGTCAATTTTTTTTCAATTGTCTAAAGCTATGTATATATAATTTATTTTATTTTGTTATTCAGAGGCCAATTTTGGCTATAAAATTACATTAAGGATCAATAAATGTATAAGACAATTATAATAATATTTCTTTTTGATTTCAGAGATAATACCCATTTATAAAGGAAAATATTTCTGCAGAGCCGTTGTCAGCTGTCAAAGAATAACGACTACATATTCACCAATATGAAATAAATTCAGGGGAGTATTGTGATAATATTTCATTTATTGAGCAAAATGCTTTTATTTAGGCTATAAATGATTGTGTTTCAGGGAAAGATGCGGGGTACAGCACATTCCACATCAATATGAAGCTATATTATATAAAGATTTAAGTGCTTTAGAGATATGTTTAGATTTTTTAATAAATATCGTCCCTCCTCTACATTCACAGCCAGATTTCCTTTCCAGAGGTGCAAGGGTCCACGGGGAGTAGGACTGTATGATGACTAAGTAATTAGGTTTAGTTTTTTTTATTATAGTTTTTTACTATTGTATATTATATTTCATTGTTATGTAAATAAAATGCATATTAATTATAATTATTTATTTTAATTATTAATAAAAGATGTACAAATATTTGCAGCAATTTAGTACCTGAAAATAATTGTTTCATATATGAGGATATTTACAAACATGTATCTGATATAGTCTCAAATATTTAGTTTTTTTTATAGGATAATGGTGATAAACACAGTCTACCACACACACACATACACACACACAGTCCATCTGATGTTAAGTAACTGCTGTGGTGCATAGACGTCCACATCTATCCTCGACTACAAATCAAAATGCAGATGCGTTGTCACCCGTGTGGAGTAAGATGGAATGCCTCGTTTCCTGTAAAAGAGGTCTCTCTCATACAAACTTTGTACAAAAATTTATCGAAAATTTGTCAATAAACAAGTTTAAATGTTTTACTAAAGAAAAATTTTATAAAAAGGTTATTATAATATCAAAGAATACATAAATGAGAATATTGGAAATACTGGAATTGAGGTGATCGCCACCATGGTGGTTCTATTAAAATTCATTTAAAAATTGTACAAATAAAATTATTGTTAAGAGAAATATGTTTATAAAAAAGTCCCGCTGGGTTTCTTACTAGTATTTAGTCTTTCAATAAGTATTCTGTAATAATCTATATTTAATAAAAATCATTCTATTCTATTCTCATTCTATAAACTCACCATAATAAACACAGCAGCATTAAGTTGCTATTTAACTTGTGTTTTTCTGACTTTCTAATAAAAATATTTGTAACTCTAATTTTCTAATTTTTAGGTTAGCTATTTTAATATTGTATTTATGTTCCTCTTCCATCATTTCCAGTTGTCTTTTTTTAAAATCTGTGTTACTTTTTACAATTGTTTGGTGTACATCTTCTCTTCTGTAAAATGAAATGGAATACTTAATGTAAGTTTTGTAGTTATTTTAGAAATTTACAAAGTATTCTAGAGTAATAAAAGTGCACTTAACCTTGTACACCAATTAAAGAAATATTTTTTAATTATTTTTAAATCAATTCATATTAAACTTTGCTTTTAATATTTGAAAACATGAAACAATTTTCAGTGTTTAAATACTAATTTTCACATTTTAAAAAGTATGTAATGTATCAGACTATGTAATTTTTTCAACATACCTATTTTGCAAGCTATTTTTCCTGTTTTTAATTTTTGTTATACCCCTAGTAATAATATCTTTATTGTTGGTTATTTTCACCATTTTGGCACTTTCTTCTGTATCTGTAGTTGGATCTATCTCTAAAAATTAATATAAATATAACAGTTTTAGAAAATTAACATTTATAATATTTACAAACTTGTATGCATATGATTGTAACTATAATAATAATATATTTTGCTTTTTAATAAATATTCAATCAGTATTATTTACCTTGCACATATACAACATTGGGTTCTGGATTTTCTACATTTTTAACTATAGCTGTGTCTGTTTTTTCAAAATTAAGGCGAGGCTTAGGGTCAGCAACTTCTTTTGATGTTGTAGCCACAGTCACTGGATCCTAAAATAAATCATTAAAACATTTATTAACATGTTTTCCTGTCACCTGTCATCTCTATTTTGCCCTTTATTGAATCAGGTATTTTCTATGTTGTAGAAATATTATTATGATCCAAGACAAAAGGTAATTTAATAAATTATTAATTATAATACCTAATAGACAAAAATAGAAAATTATAATCGGACTGTGTAGATAATCTAGTAAAATGTGTGTTATGATATTATATAGACCACTATATATGAATTTGTGACATTTCAATTTTGAATATAATTAATTATAAAGAAATTTATGTTAAATTGTTACTAAGTATATTAAATTTTGAATATTCGGAAAATAATTTTGGATTGTAAATTGTATGCTTTAAGAGTAGATTTCAGAGCACTACTTAGGTACTAAAGTAATGGAAAATAAAGTTCTTTAATTTTAATTAAATTTGTAAGACATGTAAGTAATTTTATTTACCACTGCATCACTATCATAATTATTTACTTCAACGATAAAGTCGTGAGGGGCAATGGACATTATTTCCAAGTCCTCAAGAGAAGGTGATGGAGGTTTTCCGCCACCCCCGGTCTTTGATTGTTTCCTCCTATATGTGTATAAGTTTGATTTAGCACACAACTTCGTTCTTTTCCAAGATAATTTCAATTCACCATCTGATCGGCGTTTACCTGTTATCTCATTAAATCTAAAAAAAAATACGAAATCACGTAAACAATACCATACCTATTTGTACACATAACAAATGCGATAAGTACTTACTTATTAGTTATATTCTTCCACTCTTTTATTTTTTGAATATTTACCGATGTTTTTGTCGACTTATTCTCTATTATATGTGCTGATTGTGAAATAAGTGTACGTAATATTTCCTATAATAATAAGAACATTCCTTTTAGTTGAAATAAGGATAATAGGAGGATAAGAGTATTGCTACGTACTGACAAATTTCGATATTTCACTAACTTTTTCTTCAGAACTCCAATTTTCACCCCGTTTTTTCTTTTGTTCCATTATTATATAAATATAACTGTAATAGCAAGTACTTAATTAATTATTAATAATTTAATTTACTTATTATAAGGCTGCAATATAAACTATTTTGAACGTCTCAAATCCCGCGCTCGCGTTACCTCTGTAATTCACTACATTTCACGCTAGAGTTGTTAAACTGAAAACAACTTGATATAATCAAAAGCGCGTCAAAAGTATATGTCGTGCTTGTTCAATAGATTTTAACGTAAACAAATAACAATGTATGATATGTTTTTGTATTGATGGATAATTATTTAAGCATAATTAAATGTGAAAATAATATTAATATTTTATGAAACCGAACGTTGCATTGAATGAAACCTGTATGAACGAATGATAGAGTGTCATTTTTTGTTTTTTATCTGTGAATGATATTTAATATAATACTAACGTTGGTATTAACTGGTCCTCGGGTAGTCTGCGTTTTGTAATAAGCACACGTTTTAGTGCTGGTATTAACTAGAATATTGTAACAAACCTGGACTTCTTACTCCTAAACTTAACCCAGTACTAAAACATTTTTTTGGAATAAGACTGATTAAGTTTAAGCGCTATGTTTTTTACACCCTAATGATTTAGCTTCCTGATTAATGTCTTATTGTGAACACAGTGGAAAGCCTTGTAAAGGTCACAAAATATACCCAAAGCAGTTTCTGAATTTTTCCATACACAGAAAATGTTTGATTAGCTCTACACTGGCATCAGTTGTCGAGCGAGAAGAGCAAGAGAAGGAAGTTACAAAAATATTAAATACTCTTCCTATCGCTTGGACTTTTGTCTTCCGCAGACGACTGGATACCATTTGCGGTGTCCATTTCTGGTGGTTATATTTGTGATTTTGTTAGAAATAGTAGATCGTTAGTAATTACCCCAGAGCATTTGCAATTACCCCAAATGACGTCCGTATTTACCCGATATGCACATACATATTTTTTTTTGAAATATTTAATAGAAGTTGATTAGTTAAAAATAAAAGATTATGTTAATTTTGTAATGATATAACCAAAGTTTAATTATTGATTTAACATTATACTGAATACTACTAAGTTTGTAGTTTTTATTGAAATTATATATAATTTATAATTATAGCTATTATTATATTTTTTTAAGTTAAGTGTCCGCAATCCCCCCACTCTCCCCTAAACTCATAGGGGATAAAGAGTATACATAAAAATTGTACATTTTGAAATCATTATAAAAACATTTTTCAATTTCTTTAGCAACATGTATTTATTACATAGTTATTGTCACTAGACAATTACATCATGACAGATACAATCTCATTACGAATATATATATGATGTATAAATTTTACATATTATAAAACTTTTTCAAACCATTTTAGGATAGCTGAAATTTTATTACGATATATTGCTGTAATGAAAGAATACAATATCAATTTGCCAGACAGAAATTCCGTTGTAATGGAAGGAGATATCTAAAAATCGTACTATTTTTTTTGCGACATTACTATATATCTAATACTATTATACTATTACACACACACACACACACACACACACACACACACTCACACACACACACACACACACACACACACACACACACACACACACACACACACACACACGCGCGCGCGCGCGCGCGCGCGCAAACGCACACGCACACGCACGCACACACATACACCTCTACACATAAACACAATCACTCACACACATTTTATTTTATTATTGCTTTTCCCTACAACAACGTGTCTCTGAAAACGGGTAAACACTGTAGTCTGTAACACAGTTTTCAACTGTCACGGTATACAGAGTTTCAATGTGATTTAATTATATATGTAGAAGTTATGTATTATTATTAAGTTCTTTAAAAAATGTTGTCTTCTTTTTTCTAGTATTTTCATTGTCTTTTTTCTTTTTACGTAAGCATATACATAGATTGTAAGGAACAATCACAGGCAGTTCCATTTTTTTGAAACACATTATTTTTTCTGCTAATTGTGCTAAATACACAACATTCATTTGCGGATCTTTAGGCGTCATGAAATCAGCAGCAGGCTGCCAGTAACCGTCGATACATCTAGCTGGCTGAGAAAAAACTCCGTTAAAAAATAATCCAAAAGATCCTAAAATTAAATATAACTAAATTAAAGATAGAGGATCTATAAAGTTTAAACATATTTACTGTAAGGCACTTAAGGTTACTTACCATCGCATATTATACCCAAACTTAGAATATTATTTGAATTAGGGCCGGAAAGCCACAGCTTTACGAAGTTTAAAACCGACGTGGCTTTATTCAGCGACAATTCTTCGTTCTTAACTTTTCGCTAAAGAAATTGGTTAGTAATGAATACAGTAACTACCATAAACTATACATAGCTGAGTACGTTTATAAAATACTTACTTTTGTGTCCAATAATTTTGTCCACAGATTCTCATTAAAATGCATTAAATATTCTAGTGTTCTTAATTCTGGTGTGAGAACACCGATACATAATGAAGAACTTTGAACATTTATATATCTATTAAATGGTTCAAAAACATTATATTTATGAACTGTGTTCTTGATATCTACAAGATGGTTAATGCCAACAAATCCCCATACCGGTGGGCAAAACATATTTTTTAATGGAATTCCTACAATTTCAGCCGCTATCGGAGCTATTTCCAAACCTAAATCAGAGGTTACCACAACTATATTTTTTTTATTAATATTTGTTATTAATTTTGTTAACAGAGTAGCATTATAACAAGCCGGCCCTAGATTGGGTAATAGAATATACATATTGCGTGATGCTGAAGCGTTAATCATTGGTGCAAGATCTTTCATTGTCTCGGAATTTTGATAGAGCCATTCACCAATAGACAAATCCATTCTGAAAATTGGAAATAAATATTATGTATATATTTTACTTTTTCATTTTAAAGTTTCTGTATAATACAACGATAGGTAGAGTTGTGGTCAAAAAATTTGAGGTTACGATTTTTTTGTATAATGAGCGAATCACTCAAATTGTAATGAATTGGCTATTCTAAGCAGAATAATAATTTTTATTAAAAAAAACTAATTACCTGAAGGGTACACAATCCATAACGATTAGTAAATCGCAATTGGTAAGGGCCATACCAATTTTAGTCACATGTTTTACAACTTTTCCTGGATAATTTGTGCTCACGTAACTACATTCGTTTTCCACAAAATCCAAAAACTTTGAACTGCATTTTGTATCATAGATATAAATTTTTGATATAGTTTTTTGGTTCACAGACATATCTAATAGACCAGATATTAAATACATGGTGAGTGGATGGCTGGCCCCCGAAATGCAAACAATATAATTACTGTCAAGATGTTTGTCATTATCTTTTATACTCAGCTGCATGTTCTTTACAAAATGTTTTTCAAGTGTATGTTTCTTTTTGAACTGATTTAATGAATCCACCAGGTCTCTAAATTTTTCCGTGGATAAAAATGCTTCAAATTTATAATAAGAGTAACAGTAATCTAAAAATTCTGATGCACCTCCAATGTAATAAGGTTTGCTGCCCTCAATCAGCATTTCCTTCCAAACTAATGGTGATCCACTGTGATGCCATTTGTATTTAATATTAATTTTATGCAGCCATTTCTGAAAAATATTAAATTTCATTAAAGTTAAGGATAATATTATTTATCGGCCTATCGTTATTTTTATATTATTCATGTATTTACATATTATTCAAATATATACAATAATTACACACTCCTACTCTCCGCGGTATAGTGCCAAGAACGCTGGCTGCGTTTCCTCGCTGAATGGCTATACTTAACCTTTGAGCGAGAAAACAATCAGTCTTCTTATCATCAACAGCAACGACCTGTGGCGGATACATTTCTTTTAGAAACTTCACCGCACGTGGACCCGATGAACCGCTAATCTTCACAGCATATGGCACAACTATGTAGTCATCTCTCAGAGTCCTCATATTTGCGTCCTTACTTAGTTCATTATTGTTTTATTACCTCCCATTCCAATATCGATTTTTCGATTTTTTTACATACGAAGTGTGGTAGATTTTGTGATAGATAGTCTGCGATCAAATAAGTTTTTGCAAAAGCTTCACATTGTGATTCTCCAGCTATGATAATTTGCACGCCCATGACGCCCATGACTCTTGTTATTATGGAAAAATAATTAAAGTTTTGAAGTTTTATTTTGACATTCGTTTTTGATAAAATCAAAAAGTTTTTATAATACGTCTTATTGGTTAAATTATTAAACCTACTCTTTAAAGTTTCAAATCGCTTAAAAATAGGTAATAATAATAATAAATATTATTATTATTATTATTATAGATGAGTTAGGCTTTTGTTAAATACAAACGATATACGTGTTTATTTTATATAAAACATAGTGATTATATGATTATGTCTCACTCCGCGCTTTAGGCATGCAAATACACCTATGCGCCTTACGTTAATAAAAAAGTATTTTTCGCTTGTAAGTAATTAGGCACTTTTTATGTTTATTTTTGAGTTTTTATTCAAGCACGGTCTCTCAAAAAGCTAAAAACTACTGCATAGCATACGGGAGCTTAAATGATAAAAGGAATGTCGACTTTTCATTCTTTACTGTTTCTTAAGATACCGATAGATAAGATATTATTATTTATAGGTAGATCTAGATAATTAGGTACCTAGTTACTGACGCCATAGTTACAGATTTATTATTTGATTAGCGACCCAACCACAGCTTCACAGTTTTCGATTTTTTCGCGTATAATGCCAGTTACCTTAAATATTCATTCAGTGTAAGTAGACCTCCCAGTACTTGTGACTGCCTACTAATGCAAGATCAGCATATACCTACTGGTTTTTTTTAACACTTGGTCGATAAAAGAAAGAGGGTGAAAATAGCAGTACTTCTCATTGCCACTCTTGATTAATAATGCCTTCACGTGTCATCATTCATCATCATCATTACAGCCCTTCACAAGTCCACTATTGAACATAGGCCTCCCCCAAAGAATGCCACAAAGCACGGTCCTGAGCCACCTGCATCCATTGACTTCCTGCATGTCTTACCAGGTCGTCACTCCATCTCGTGGGGGGACGCCCTACACTTCGCCTACCGGTACGAGGCTGCCACTCGAGAACCTTTCTTCCTCATCGGTTGTCGGTTCTTCGAGCTATATGGCCGGCCCATTGCCACTTCAGCTTACTAATCCGTTGGGCTATGTCGGTTACTCTGGTTCTACTGCGGATATCCTCATTCCTAAGTTTATCACGCAGAGAAACTCCGAGCATAGCCCTCTCCATAGCTCGCTGAGCGACCTTGAGCTTCCTCATCCGGCCAGCAGTGAAGGACCACGTCTCAGCTCCGTATGTCATCACTGGCAACACGCACTGGGTGTACAGTCTCGTTTTCAAGGTTTGAGGTATACCTGACGAGAAGATGTGCCGTAATTTCCCGAACGCTGCCCAACCGAGTTGAATCCGTCGATTGACCTCTCGGTCGAAGTTGGACTTACCTAGTCGGACTATTTGTCCCAGGTAAACATACTCGTCAACAACTTCGAGCTTAGTGCACCCAACAACAACCGGCATAGGTGTGACATGGACATTAAACATGATCTTAGTTTTGTCCATGTTCATCTTAAGACCTATCCGTTGGGAAACACTATTGAGGTCATTGAGCATAGTGCTTAGGTCCTCCAGCGATTCTGCCATAAGGACTATATCGTCGGCAAATCGAAGGTGACTGATGTACTCGCCATTGATGTTGATACCGTATCCTTTCCAGTCCAGAAGCTTGAAAACGTCTTCCAATACAGCGGTGAAGAGTTTCGGGGATATGACGTCACCCTGTCTTACTCCTCTCTGCAATTGGATAGGTTTCGTACTCTGGTTCTGTACTCGGATAGCCATCGTAGCCCTACTGTACAAGCACTTCAACACTTCGATATACCGACAGTCAACTTGGCACCGCTGAAGGGACTGCAGCACCGCCCAAATTTCGACGGAATCAAAGGCTTTCTCATAGTCCACATACGTCACACATAGTGGCAAATTGTACTCTTCGGACTTCTGTACAATTTGCCGAAGGGTATGTATGTGGTCTATGGTGCTAAAGCCCTTTCGGAAACCGGCTTGTTCGGGAGGCTGGAAGTCGTCAAGTCTGCGCGCGAAACGATTCGTAATGACTCTCGAAAACAGCACGTAGACGCGGCTCAGAAGGGAAATCGGTCTGTAGTTCTTCAAGAGAGCGTTGTCACCTTTCTTGAAGAACAAGACCACCGCACTTCTGCTCCATGCCTCCGGTGTAATGCCACCATGGAGGACGGAATTAAAGAGCTTCTGAAGGACTTCAAGTACCGGTTTTCCACCCGCTTTCAGAAGCTCCCCTGTAATTCCATCCTCGCCTGGGGCCTTACCGTTTTTAAGGTGCTGGAGAGCCATTCTAATCTCGCTCAGACTGACGTCCGGGATATCTTCGGAATAGTGTCGGATGAGACTCGCTCTTGGATCGTTACTCACACTTGCGTGTGGCTCCAACGATGACGTGTACAACTGCCCATAGAACCTCTCAATCTCACTCAAAATTTCAGGTGTACCGGAAACGATGCTGCCACATTCTGTCTTCAGCTTTGACAGTTGGCTCTTTCTGGCAGACAGATCTCTGGCAAAGACTTTGGAGCCTTGGTTCCGCTCGATCGCTTCTTCAATACGAGCTGTATTGAAGTTGCGTAAGTCCCGCCGCATGCATTTGGAGATCTGTCTGTTCAGATGCCTGTATGCTGTCAAGTCTGTTGAAGAATGTAGCTTCATCTCCCGTCTAACAGCCATGAGATTAAGAGTGTGATCGGAGAGTTTTTGTGTTGTTCTGCGGCGGTTCTTGCAGAACTTAGCTCCGACCGCATGGACAGTTTCCACGAGCTTGTCATTCATATCGTCCACTTCATTGCAGTCTTCTAGGCACTGAAAACGGTTTTGTAACTCGAGCTGAAAGGTTTCGGGACTTTGGATTAGAGCACGAGGGGGACGGAGCGTTGACTTCATTAGACGAGACCTCTCCAACTAAACGTTTAGGTTCAGTGTGCCTCTAACCATTCGGTGATCGCTACCAGTTTTCACCCTCGCGATCACGGAGACATCACTGAACATTTGTCGTCTGGTCGTCATAATGAAGTCAATCTCATTTTTTGTCGAACCGTCGGGGCTCGACCATGTCCACTTCCTGTGGGGCCGCTTCTGGAAGAAAGAGTTCATCATAAAGAGTCCCTCTTTCTCCATGAAGTCGGCCAGCTGCTGGCCCCTTGGGTTCCGTTGCCCTATTCCAAATTTTCCTACTTTCAGCTCACCGTTCTCTCTTGTGCCTAGTTTTGCATTAAAGTCTCCCATTAACACCGTATATTGGGTTTTGGAGGAATGCATGGCTCTAGAGATATCCTCATACATTTCCTCCACCTCCTCATCGGGGTGTGCCGAGGTTGGTGCGTAAACCTGTATGACCTTCAGCGAATACCGTTTGGTGATTCTGAGTATAAGGTACGCAACCCTCGTCGACACACTCCCGATCTTTACAACGTTGTTAACGAGAGACTTGTGGACGATAAATCCGACACCTCCTTGGGACAGATGGTCGCCCTCCCGGTGATAGAGCAAGTTGCCGGATTCGAGGATTACCGTGTCCTCCCCCTCTCTTCGGACTTCAGATAATCCTATAATATGCCAGCGCAACTTGTCTATCTCTTCTTCCAGCTCCACGATCTTCTCGTCAGTCCTCAGGGTGCGTGCGTTGTACGTTGCCAGGTCGAGTCGTCTAAGGTGGCAACCGAACCTCCACCGGAGATTCTTAGCACCCCCTGCCCCGCCGTTACCATGGTCGCCACCGTAGTCAGGAATAGCGGGGCCGCCGGGGACTGGGGGCCGTTTCTTTTTTACTGTCATTCATAGGGGGGGGTATTTGCCATAGTTGCCACGCTTGGCGAGCGGGTTGGCAACCGCAGTTTTTTTTTTATTGTTCGCGTCGTGTCGCATGTTTGTAAATAGCAAAAAAATATGAAATAGACAAGTAGTGAAATAAATATATATATATACCACTGATTTCAATATAAATAAAATGAGAACATCGTCGTCAATTAAATACGCATTATTAAGGATAACTGCAAAACTACTGGTCAGATCAAATCTATATGGCACTACAAGAGAAGGAGCAGCTTTCAAATACGAATCATCAAATCGGTGCACCTAGAAAAGAGGCCTGAGGTATCACACAAAAAAAATACAGTCGATTTGAGTACCTCCTCCTTTTTTGCAGTCGGTTAAAATGGTAAGTAGATAATTTATCTGAGTTTCAAAGACGTTCACGTTATAATCTTAATTTTTCTCGATATTGCATATTAACCTTCCCCACATTGAACAATAATGTTATTATTATCAGCAAATTACTACCTAATACATTGCATAACACCTCGGTGTATTGCTACCAACTAATCTCAAAGTATTTTTTCTTACAACACCTAACCCTACAGTAGGAGGGGCCTTAACAAAGGCGCGTAACGGGCTAAGTGATACACTCTCTCGCAAGCGGACGTAAGGTGCATTTTGATAAAATACGCGCTCCGCAATAATCAGTAGGTTATTTTAACGAAGGTCGGATCCGAGGTGTACAAAGTATTATGAACATTAGCCACGTTGTAACTAGTTTAAGCTCGCAAGTTTGCTGTCAGAGAGTGATCCTTCTGTTCTTGTACCATTATTTATTCTGTGATCGAAATAAAACTTACATGTAAGCGTTGTAAAAATTTAGCAATTGTTACAATCACTATGTAAGAAAATGTGAACATGCACTCGCGAAAAATTCCAAACTGTTTTGGTCGATGGTAAAAGACAAGAGGGATGGGTTAGGTAAATTTTCGACAACTATGGGCAATGGATCATTTTCCACCACAGATAGTTCAGTTATATGTGAGATGTTTGCTTATAACTTTTCCTCTCTTTATAGCCTAGAGGATAACGATAGTTATGAATTATGATGAATTACTTACAATCACTACTAAATAACCGCTTATGTCTCTCAATTTTTCATAGGATAGACAAACGACATGACAAACGAGCACACAGTCCACCTGATGATAAGTGGTTGCTGTGGCCCATAG